CCCCGCCGGCGGGGCGCCAAGTAGCCTCTTTGGGCTGCACTACTGGGCTGGGCTGGAGCTGGACTTTGTGGAATATAAAGGGGCTTCCTGGCGTGCCGCAGCTCTGGAGCTTTTTGCAGCCACAGAGCCGTGGTGCACCAGGAAGCCCCTTTGCACCACACAAACCCCAGCCCCAGCCCAGTCCAGCAGAGCGGCACAAAGGGGCTTCCTGGCATGCTGCAGCTCTGGGGCTTTTTGCTAGGGCTGGGTTTCGTAGAGTGCAAAGGGGCTTCCTGGCGCACTGCAGCTCTGGGGCTTTTTGCAGCCCCAGAGTCATGGCACAGCAGGAAGCCCCTTTATATTCCACAAAGTCCAGCTCCAGCCCAGCCCAGTAGTGCAGCCCAAAGAGGCTACTTGGCGCACTGTGGCTGTGGGGCTGCAAAAAGCTTGCAGTCCCAGAGCCACAGCATGCCAAGAAGCCCCTGAGCCACAGAGCATTCTTTCTCCAGCCTTCCTGAGCTCACACCGCACCACAGCACCCTCCTCCCCCAACTTGTGCGCTCTTACACTGGCCTTTCCAGGCTTCCCCAACCTCCCGCAGCACCCCTCGTGCTCCTTACCTAGGACTCCCGCCTCTTCCCACTTAATGATCTGCATGTCTTGGAGTTATGATGGCAACCAGGACTGCCTGGATTGCCGCCGCTAAGCGAGGTGGTCATGTGACATTGCGCTTTATGACCACATCGTTTAGTGATGGAAATTCCGGTCCCAATTGTGGTCATAAGTCAAGGACTACCTGTATTTTACTAGAAAAATATGTGACACCTTATTTTACAAGATAGTATGAAGACTATTTGAAGTTTAAAAAAACTGGGTATCTCACTTATTCCATTCAATGGGTCTACTCTAACTATGACAACATCTGCATAAAAATTAACTTAATGACTGATTATAATACATTGAAAAGAGCTATGAATACAATTTTGTATTGAATTAATTTACAAAGAATGGGGAAAAGAAAAACAAGAGAAAATTATGTTTAAAAATCACAAAAATAAACTAAAAGATAAAACATATTACAAACAGAAAAAGTCACACAGTCCAGCTTTTAAACAAATTGTTAAACCTTGACTACACAGACTATTGGTCAGTCTTTCCATTACACCAACAGAGACCCAGTTCAAAGGCAGAAAGTAACATATTTCATCACTCCAGGTCTCTAAATCTGGAATTAACTGCTTTTCTAATACTGAAGAATTATGTATTGATTTTTATAACACCAGATGAAAACATATACCCCCAAATAGTTGTACAAGTCCATATTATATGAGTATGCATTTCCTCATCTATTCTACACTTCCAAGTTAATTAGGTTTTAAATATTCTTAAAATATTTAATATTTATTAAAATATTTTCTGAAGTGTTCAAAAAACATAAAAGAAAATATTTTGATGAATTAAACTCATTTTAAGATTATAAGCAACATACTTCATATTCTTCCAAACAATTCTTATTTTCTTTGTAATTTATCCCACCTGTATGTCATTCAGGAACTTGTAGAAGACCTCATTCTCCTAGGCCTACTAGGCAGGGTGATTGTGAAGACCCCTTTTTGGGTCAGCTGACCATCAAATGTTTAACCAAAATACCATAGAAAAATACCATTTTGGTTAAAAATTCAAGGGTCTACTTATCTGCAGGTGGGCTTATCTGCCAGTATACGTGGGATATACGGGTACTTTAAAAACGCTGAGGGAAAACCCTACTGTATATACTTATGGACAAGCCCATCTATAAATAAGCCAAATCCAATTTTTGGGGTATATTCTGGCACCTAAAATTCTCGGTTTACCACAAATATATATGGTAAGTTAATTTTTCTTTTTGAGGAGTTAGAGAACTAGATTTGATTTATATCTGCCACCCAATTTATGTAATTTAATATTATTTCATGATACTATCAGTTAGAATTGCCAGTTGTCTTGACTTATGCCAAGAGCTAATGTTATCCTGGCTAATGACAAACACTTGACCACTTATTAGGAAAGTGGCCGGTAAATGGCAACAAATGGCCATGCATAGTAAGAATATCAGAGTGCCAGAAACATCAATTGACATAAATTAATAATAAATACATGATATATTATTAAAAAGAAACACTGTCATCTGGAATATAAAGAGAATGACCAAAGTTATGTGTCTGTTTTTTTAATTGCAAGGCAGAGGATATCAGTTGGGGGGGTAACTATAAAAAGTGCACTGAGCCTAAGAGAGACATTACATACCTACATTGTGGATTATTTCATTCTAATGAAGAAAAATAATACTGCTCAAAGCCACCATTTGGTTGGGGGAAAAAATTAGCAGCACACTCTTAGGATAACTCTGCAGCCTTAAAAGTTGGGTTGGGGGATGAATGTAGTCTCTGAGTTGCTGGCTGCTGCTTTACATCTTCAATAGCTAGTTTAGTCTCTTTTTAAGTGGAACAGGAATCATGATTGCATGGATCAGGAGATATGGATAGATGGATGGAGACATATATGCAGATATAGAGTGAGATATATCGATATGAGATGCAAAGACTACAACTAAATTAATTAGTTCTTATGGTACATCTATTAAAGTTCCTTTATCTTGTTCTATTTTGTTTTTGCTCCATCACTATTTCCATTTTATTCCACTGACTTGGAAGTAAAATGATGTGAGTTATTGCCAATAGGGAAATATGGATTTAGTTATCATACTATGTCTGTTGGGAGAAACTGGCCTGTTTTATCAAATGTCTAGAGTGGGTGAATATTAATAATGGAGTTTCAAAAGTCAGCCAAATTATCATTTCACTGTAGATTTCTGTTTTGAACTGAACCAGCACCACTATTTTTATAAAACAAATGACCTTAGCTATTACTTAACATTTCTACTCCAAAGTGCTCATACTTATGGTGCTTGCTAATTTAATCATAACATTAAAAAGAAATGAAGCTAAATTATGCCTCAAGAAATAAAGCCCAAATCTAGCTATGCATTAGAATACTGTAATTTATAAACCTATACAAAAACTGTGTTACAATGACAGTGAATACTGATGTGGTTTTATACTATAGTGGGTGTATGGTAGGCTGAAAGAAAATATATGCATACAATATTGAAATAAAATATCCAGACCTTTTCACAGCATCCTTCTTCTGACTATCTATTCCATCCCACCACTTTGAAAAATAAGAGATTTCAGACCACATAAATTTCCTTCCTTTGTCTTCTTGAAGTTTAATAACCATGTTATTGAGAATGTGTTGTGTCTGATCTCTGAAGTAGTCATCAAATGTCTTCAGCCAACCTATTAAACATAACATCACATGTTGAACAAATTAAACTGAATATATTGTGATAAAATCAGAATTTTATTCCCAGAAACAATCATCATATCCATTTACATAACAAAAATTTGACTGTGCCTAAAAAACTAGACTTAACAAAAATTAGACTGTGAAATGAATGGTAAGAAAACACGAGAAGTATTTTGAAATATATCTGTATTTAAAGTGACTTTTAAACATTTCAAAAGCATAAACTATGGTGATAATGCTAATATCTTACTGAACAAGCCAATTGCTCTAAAACTTTAGAGGGAGAAGATATTAATTTTCATTTAATATTAAAAAAACAAACCAAGAGGGTTCACTTCACTTCAGTTGCCTTTTGTTAGTAAACAACTTAAGCAATAAGGATGTGGAGCTTAGATTTGTTTCATTACTCCAACTATATCAATGAGGAGAAGCAACAAACTATTCTCTCTACAAATGCATGCAGACAATCTCTTTATCTTCCCAGATGCTCCTGAAAACTATGTCATTCTACAACTTTTCATAAAAATAATAATGATTCCTAAAATGCTCTTAATACTTTCATAGTTCTGGGAACAAAATGGTGGCCAACAGGAGACAAAATCATTCTGTTACTTCTGCAACCACAAACGACAACAAAGGAGGGGGGAAAAAAACCTCCCCCAAAGTGAATGCAAATGGAAACAGTTGTGATATAAACAAATCAGTAAACAAAATAAATGTGATTTTAATGAATGAAAAATGAAGCCAATTTAAGTCTCTGAAATTCATTCACTTTTGTATCAAAATGAAAATTATTTTCTTATGCTAGAAACTAAGTAGGTATGAATCTCTTCAAAACAAAATTTTTCTGAACGTCACTGTGAGCTTTCTAAAAGAAAAGAATGGGACAATTAAAATTAATATGTGCTTAGACATAGATGAGATCCCAAATATCAGAGATGTCAGAAGGCTGCAATCTGAACATATAGAGGAATCAGTAGAAGCGAATATGTATAGCCCAGAGTTGAACTGTGGAGTCCTTGGGGTTCTCTGAGCTTGGCTAGCACTGAAGATGTTACCTAGCCAGGTAACGAAACATTTGCAAGAAAACAGCCAAGCTCAAAGAACCCCAAGGACTGCACATATAGAGGAATAGAAAATACTAAACTAAAAGGAATGAAATATAGAAGCAATCTTTAAATTGCTAAAAATGATGTTAGATTCTTTTCAGAGTCTACAAGAATATTTGTGAGTATCTGAATTGTACAATAATCTTTCTTTGATCGGGCAGGTCAAGAAAGAAAAATACAGGTAGTCCTTGACTTACAACCATCCATTTAGCAACCATTCGAAGTTATGATGGCACTGAAAAAAGTGACTTATGACCATTCCTCACATTTACAACCATCGCAAGGTCCCTATGATCACATGATCAAAATTCGAGTGCTTGGCAACTGGCATATATGTATGCCTGTTGCAGTGTCTTAGGGTTGCATGATTGCCATTTGTGACCTTTCCAGCCAGCTTCTGACAAGCAAAGTCAATGGGAAACTGCGTGATTCACTTAATGACTGCGGCAAAAAAAGTTATAAAATCTGGTGCAGTCACATGATGCCTTGCTTAATGACGGCACCGCTTAATGATGCATTTTTCGATCCCCATTGTGGTCGTAAGTCGAGAACTACCCATAGTGGCTTGATTGTTCTAAAAACAGAAGAACATACAAATGTTTATCTCATTTGATAAAAGGACAACAAGATGTCAGGTAACTGTTTCATCAAAGAAATAATTAAAAAATAAGTATTAAGTATTTCTCAGACTTTCTGGCAGAAGAATTAATATAACAAAACAGAAACAAAAATGAAATAGATGCCACTGGGCTTTTTTTAATATGCCCCATGAGGTTCTGGTAAAGTCAACTATTAAAGGCAAACATAAAAGAAAGTAAGTAGAAAAACACAAAGAACTATTGTGCATAGGTCCTGAAAATTGTGTCGGTTATTACCATTAAACCTTGGATTATGCATACAGTGATCACACATCCTTTATTATAAAGGTCAGTCCTTTATTTCAGAAAGCTTTATTTAGATTTATTTAATTTAATTATTTCCTTGGTTTTCCTCTTGAATTTTCCTTTGTACCAAAGTTATAAACATAATTAATTTTTTTTATCCTTATGGACCTCTTTCAGATCTGCCTCTTTTTCAGGTTTGTGCTTTATTTTTTTGCATGAAAATATGGTCACTGTAATTATGCAAGATTCAGGCAACAGATGTAAACTTCCACAGATGTCCCATAATGCATTTATTATATGCAAGGACCTATTTGTACAGTAATGAGAGAGCAATAACTGTTATTAATTTGATGAATGTTGGCATCAGTATTTAACATTTTAATTACTCTTTCAAACAATTTAAATCTTTATACAATAAACAATTTGAAATATGGAATTGGGTTTTAGCCAATATGGCATATCTCTTAATGTACCATGCAAACAGGTTATTATAGGATGTGAGCACATTTAAATAAGACTGAAAGACATGGAATATTTATATGGATAAGGAGTATACTAATAGCCTGAGTCTTCTATAAATCAAGTCTCAGGTTACATTATTGCAGAATCTTTTTTGGTTTTGGTACATTATTATTCCCAAGTAGAAAAAGGCAGTGAAATTTCAAGTGAATGGTCAAGGTTTTCACATCAAGACACTAAGAAAGTATTTTGCAACTCTTTACTATGGGAAGTTTCAAGGATGAACATCCACAAGAGATAACACAAAATGGGACTTTATAGCAGAAAGTAAACTAGTGTTCAAAATTCTAAACCAAAATTCTAAATTCAATTCTATTAAGAGTTTACTTATAAGGTGATATTCTATTATTCAGACTAAAAATATTGTAAAAGGAAATATGTTATATACAATGTATTCTTTTTCAGAATTTTAACACATACATTTTGACTTTTTGATTGGCTGAACCATTAAACAAGTTCAGCTAACTTGCCCTCCTAAGTAGTAAACAGCTCTAAAATACATTAACTCAAAAACTGTTTAGGTGCTATTTAAGTGATCTGGGGCCTAGTGTACTTAACCCCTTAGAATTTAAGTAACAAAATGGGACATGCAAAGTACCATACCAGGATATGTTAATTACACTGTGAAACTATTCAAGGTTTTTAGCCAGTTTCTATACTGTGGGACACCCCACTCTGAGCTCAGTTCACCTCCTTAAAGACATCCCCTGAGCTTCTCATTAGGAACTGCAATCCTAGGGCACCATTGTAGTGTCAACACAGAAGAACTGGCGAGATGTAGTGGTATGGGCCATTTTTTTCTCTCTTTGCACATATAAAAGAAATTCCTCCATATTTGTGCTTAGAAGGAGTTACTCAACAAGCTTTGCAAGCAGCATCATTATACTGTAAATTCCTCTACACTCCAGAAGGGGTTACTTAACAAGCTTTGCAAATTGAATGAAATGCCTCTTACTTTGAACATTTTATCTGCATTACTGCTTGTAACAATTAAGATAAAGAGAACAACATGAGGTCCCTAATCACATGCCTGGAGAGGAGAGGGGAAATAGTGGCACTTTTAGAAATGATGTCTCACTTAGAATACCTTGGTTCCTCAGTTATTGACAATCTATGTCATCAGACCATTTCTAGATGTTGTGTGCTGGGACGTTGTACAGTGGGTCAGCTGTCTCACCAAGTCACTGATAAGATGTGCATCAAGCCATCCCTAGTTGTTGTGTGGTTGTGTATTTTCTGTCCCTTGAAAAAGTATAAAAAGGTGGCAAAAGCTCCCACATACTGTGAACCTTGGCACAGATCTAACAATCTGGGAAGGTACTATGTAGTTGCCAGCCAGCTCCAGGGAGCCTATTTGCCATCATTTTGGAGTTCCTGACAGGCTGAGGTGACACAGTTTGGTATATTTTTCTTTTTCTCCTGCAATTTTCTTAATATTTACAAAAAAAATATCCTTTTCAGCATTCACCCTCATTTGGTCCTATTGTCTTCAAAATCCCAAATATATTGGATACTGGCTGGCAACCAGTGCCAGCAAATCCATATTGTGCAATTTCTCTGTTTTGAACTGCAGAGTCCAGTCCAGTGCTTTGTTTATTGGTGGGTAGGCTGAAAGATTAAGCAGACTATTTCTGCAAACAGAAATTGTTGTGAAGTCTGTAATAACAACTTAGCATGTCACTGGTCTCTCAGTTTTGCTCATATCCATGAGCAACAGATACAGAAATCTTTTGGTTAATTCTGGACAATTTGTACCAAAAGTTAGTCAGCTAGAGTTGATTACCTGCTCATTCTGTAACCTATAAAGTATTCTTAGTAGCAACGGAATCAAAGAAAAAACATTAGTGAAGGAGAACCAAGTTATGACTTCATCATGAGAAAACATGAAGTTTCATGGAGCTGAGGACCCAAATGTGATTGCCCCAAACACATTTTGAAGCTTTCTGAAATGTTACCTGGGTCATTATGTGAGTGAGGCACAACAAAAACTTGAAGAGGTTCATCGTCCCACTCATGTTCATCGTAAGTGATGTCAAATCCTTGTTTCCAAACTCCACCATCTGGATTATCAAAAGGAAGAATGTCATAGACTTTCAGCATCTAAAATGGATAAAAAGAACAGGCCATGATATGTAAAATACATAGTTCTTCAAGCATGGTTGTTGCCACTAATTTACTATTAAACAAAGTTCAAACAAATTGTTGAGAGCCAGTTTGATCTGGTGATTAAAGGCACTGGACTAGAAACTGTAAGGCCTTGCCTTAGGCACGAAGCCAGCTGGGTGACTTTGAGCCAGTCACTCCCTCTCAGGCCTAGGAAGCAGGCGAGGGCAAACCACTTCTGAAAAATCTTGCCAAAAAAACTACACAGACTTGTCCAGGCAGTTGCAAGGAGTCAGTAAAGACTAAAAGGCACAAATAAATAAAAAGCCTAATTCTGAAGTTCTGTTTCAATACTCCATTCAAAGAATACTTTTGATAGAATTTTATATAAACTATTTGTTTAGATATCTTAAATTAAACTTTGCACATGTGTGGTATCAGTCACAACAGTCTGAAGTGTGCCACACATCACCTTCTATAAATATACACATATTTTATATCCAAGATTCCTATTGTGCAACTAATTCTTCCTGCAGTCGTTCACACACACACACACACACACACACACACATTGTGTACATAAAAATACTCAAGTGTCACTTAACATAACACTAATGATTATGAATAAATAATGTTCAGTCTTTAATCCAGCTTCAGTTAAGTCATATGTAATAACTTATTCCTGCCAATAACAGATGCAAAGTAAACAGGCATTAAGCAAATTCATATTTGCACTAAAATGCAAATAAAAGTGAATTACAAGTAAAAAAAAATCAAAGTAAAGACAGACAATACAAAGTTTCCACCTTCACTAACAGACCAATACTATACATGTCTACTGAGAAACTAAGTTCAATTAAGTTCTCTGAAACCTGCTCTAAGCAAATGGGATTCTCTCTTTCTTCATGGAAGTTACATCAGCATAAATTACTTTTTAAACATGTATAAAGGATTACCCTGTAATAATAATTTCTTATAGCAAACTTTAATTTAGCTAATTTTAGAAATTCTGATAAATAAAATACTCTGAGGAAAAACAATTATTTTATGTATATTACTGCCCAAACTGCATTGTCCTCTCTCTCACATGCACATCTACACATACCCCAACTTCTGCAACTGATGGAGAAAAAAATTAAAGAAGCAAAAGAATTAAAACAAGCTAAAAGGCTAATGCCTTTTATATGTATTTTATTTATATACACATATATATATATATATATATGTACATATATATATAATATTTCATATAG